AAGAGAGAGAAAAAAGTCTTCCAGCCACTGTTTCAATCCCCAGATGACCACAATGGCCAGAGCTGTGCCAATCCAAAGCCAGGAGCCAGGAGCTTCTTCGGGTCTCCCACACGGGTGCAGGGGCCCAAGGACTTGAGCCATCTCCTACTGCTTTCCCAGCCATAGCAGAGAGCTGAATGGGAAGTGGAGCAGCTGGGACCCAAACCAGTGTCCATATGGGATGGGATGCTGGCACTGTAGGTGGAGGCTTTACCCACTACGTCACAGTGCTGGCCCCTCAGATAAATCATTTCAAAAAATTCAGGGTTGCTGATTAGGCAAGTCTAGGTTGGGCCTGAAAAATGCATTTCTAACAGGTTCCCAGGTGACACCAATGCTGGTTGTCCTGGGACCACCCTTGGAAAACCAGTGCCCTAAGCCAATCTGTTTGGTTTCTAGTGTCAGAATCAGGCTGAGACACACCCAGCCCCTCCTAGAGAGTTCTCCTCCCCAAGGCTCCGGAGGCCCCATGAATGCAGAACATCTAGGGACGGCCCGGGGTGTGGGGTCAGAGGGTGACCCAGAGGTGAGGTACACAGCTCCTGGGGCTCCTGCAGCTCTCGTAAACCTCCAGGCCTTGCTCTGCTGCCCCAGGCTGCCTGGGACTGTGGTTTGACCAGAAGGGATCTGAGCATCCTTTATATCCAAACTTGGGTGACATGGCTTGACAGGTACAAGGTGACAGAGGGCTGATCCTGAGGACAATGAAAAGTTGGCAACTGGAGCTTTCTATATGTCAGCTCCTTGAGCCCACACAGCACTAGAGGGCGTGCTGAGCCTGCTGAAGCCACAGACGTCGCCTGGCCTCCTAGAATCTTGCAAGGTGAACTTTCCCACTTCCACCAAGATGTGCTCAAAATTTCCTTTGCCATGTAAATTGCACATATCAATAAATCATGCCTTTATTTTACTTTTTTTAAAAGATGGATTTATTTATTTATTTGAAAGGCAGTGTTACAGAGAGAGAGAATTTTCCATCAGCTGGTTCACTCTCCAATGGCCATCAACGGCCAATGCTGGGCCAGACCCGGGCCAGACCCAAGCCAGGGGTCAGGAGCTTCACCTGCATCTCCCACGTGGGTGCAGGGCCCCAAACACTTGGGCCATCCTCCAGTGCTTTCCCAGTCGCATTAGCAGGGAGCTGGATCAGAAGTGGAGCAGTGCCCAGAGGAGATGCTGGCAGTGGCTTTACCCACCATGCAACAGCCAGCCCCTGTGGGGAGCAACTCGGACTAGACTAAGTTACTGGAATTAAGACTTATTCTATGCATCTGCTCTCCCACAATATGGTGCTGAGAAGGGAGTAACAGCTTCTACGCAGCTGCCTCCAGTTCAACCAATAAGCAGCAGGACCTGCTCCTGATTGGAGGAGAGCAGCGTACTCGGCGTGTGGGTAGCAGAGTTGGGATTGGCGGAAGAGGACTATAAAGGAGGAGAGAGACAACATGCACCAGGAACATCTGAAGGAACACCTGTGCAGCCCCCGAGAGAGCCGGCCAGCGGTGTGCTGCTCCCCGCGGAAGTGGGGAAAGTGGCTAGGGGGAACCGCCCTTCCACGGAGGTGGAAGGGTCGGTAGCCAACCCGGGAAGAACCAGCAGCAAACCCGGGAAGGGCCGAGCAGACAGAAGAACAGCGCAGGGTCCTGTGTCGTTCCTCCACGAAGAGGGGGAGCAACAAGCCCCGGCTCCCTTACTTTTTTTTTTCCTTTCTTTTTCTTTTTTTTTTTTAAAGCAAAGTAACAGAGATCTTTTATCCACTGGTTCACTCTCCAAATGGCCTCAGTGTGTGTGGGTGTTTGTATGTGGGTGTAAATGGGGCTGTTCCAGGCCAAAGCCAAGGGCCCAGAGCTCCATCCGGGTCTCCCATGTGGGTGGCAGGGACAGGAGCACTGGACCATCCTCTGCTGCCTTCCCGGGTGCATTAGCAGGGAGCTGGATTAGAAGTGGAGCAGCTGGGACTTGAGCTGGTGCTACAACATGGGATGCTGGAGTCATAGCAGTGGCTTACCCCACTCACCACAGCGCCAGCCCCCACTTTACCTGTTAAACATAAAAACACACATGGAAACAAATCATACAGTTAAAAAAGAAAATAGCATACTCACAATGGTAGCAAACATCCTTATTTATGGAGCAATATAATTTTTAGAAAATGTTGTTTTTCTTAATGGAGGTAAAACAATGATTTCCATCAGCCTTTCCTAGAGCTTTTTTTTTTTTTTTTTTTTGGACAGGCAGAGTGGACAGTGGGAGAGAGAGACAGAGAGAAAGGTCTTCCTTTGCCGTTGGTTCACCCTCCAATGGCCGCTGCGGCCGGCGCTGATCCGATGGCAGGAGCCAGGTACTTCTCCTGGTCTCCCATGGGGTGCAGGGCCCAAGCACCTGGGCCATCCTCCACTGCACTCCCTGGCCACAGCAGAGAGCTGGCCTGGAAGAGGGGCAACCGGGACAGAATCCGGCGCCCCAACCGGGACTAGAACCCGGTGTGCCGGCGCCGCTAGGCGGAGGATTAGCCTAGTGAGCCAGGGCGCCGGCTCCTAGAGCTTTTTATTTTGAGTTTTTTGCGTGTTTTTGTTGTGTCTCTCATGGAATTATTTTTTGTTTTGTGTTTTAATGGTTCAGAATTCAAAATTTCCTCTCTTCTTCCTATCCCATTCCTGATAGGCATCAATCACTGACATCAGTTTCCTGCTTATTTTTCCAAGGACACCTTTTTTCTAAAAAAATTTTAAAAAAAGATTTATTTATGTTTTTGAGAGTCTGAGTTACACAGAGAGAGGAGAGGCAGAGAAAGAGAGAGAGAGAGAGAGAGAGAGAGAGAGGTCTTCCATCCACTGAGTCACTCCCTGGATGGCCCCAACAACCGGAGCTGCGCCAATCCAAAGCCAGGAGACAGGAGCTTCTTCTCGGTCTCCCACACAAGTGCAGGGGCCCAAGGACTTGGGCCATCTTCTATTGCTTTGCTAGGCCATAGCAGAGAGCTGGATTGGAAGTGGAGCAGCTGGGTCTTGAACCGGTGCCCATATGGGATGCCAGTGCTTCAGGCCAGAGTGTTAACCCACTGTGCCACAGCACCGGCCCCCCAAAGACACCTTATGCACAGGCAGGCAAGCAGAAAAGTCCAGGTGTACGTGCTTTCTTTCCCCCTTTCACAGGTGCCTTCCTACACCTTGCTTTTCCCTTTAAGATTGTTTCACACAGACCATCCCAGGGAGCAACATCAAGAGCTTCCTACAGGAGCCAGTGCTGTGGTGTAGTGAGTTAAGTGTGTGGGTGTCAGTTGGAGTCCCGGCTGCTCCACTTCCAATGCAGCTCCCTGCTAATTCGCCTGGGAAAGCAGCAGGAGTGGCCCAAGTGCTTGGACCCCTGTACCCATGTGGGATACCTGGAACAGGCTCCTGGCTCCTGACTTCCTGAATGAATTAATGATCCGATGGAAGACCTCTCTCTCTGTCTGTAACTCTGCCTCTCAAATACATAAATAAATCTTTAAAGAGACAGCTTCCTAAATCTCCCTTTCCTTTTGAATTTTCATGCTACCCCATTGTATACATAAGCAACGCTTGTCCATCAGTTCCCCATTAACAGACATTTCTCTTGGTTGCTTTTACAAACAACACCACAACATACAGTTTTGAATACAGTCACCTCACAGGTATTGCAGGTGTGCAGGGATATTTTTGGACACATCCCTTGAAATCAGTGCTGCCCGCATGCATTTTTAATTTGAACAGAAATTGCCAAATTCCCCTTCCTGAAAACCCTACTAGTTTTCAACCCCCTCTGTAATATGAGAGAGAACCTGTTTTGGTAAAGTTGTTTCTGCAGCCATGGGAATTGCTGGGAGCCGTCGATACGGCAATGACATTTAAATCCTGGGAGTGGATGAGAGAAGAGTGAGAAGACAGGCAGAGCAGGCAGAGGTCGCCAGCATCCCAGTTTGCAACCTCAAGAGCCAGCAGCAGAGACCAAGAGGCAGCCTGTGTGGTAGGAAGAAGACTGGACATGTAGAAAGTTGGGGGATTATTAACGGCAGGAAGTGGGCAGCGACCCTGTCACCACTTCAGAGAACCACTGGCAGCATGCGGAAAAATACCATAAGCCCACTCTCACTGCATGTGCCAGGAACTCACAGGGAAACACAGAAAGCAGTCCCCGGATGCTCGCTGCAGCAATGTCTGAACAGGAAGAACCTAAAGATCAGTGAAGAGGGAAGAGAGAAATTGCAGCGTGTTCACACCATGGGACACTATCCTGCAATGCACAAATCAACCACTTGCATCATATCCAATGCTAACCAAAAAGCAAGCCAGGGAATGATGCATTCAGCAAGAAAAAAATTATACAAAGTATAAAAACATGTGGAAAGAGTGAAAAAAAATACTTAGTAAAAGTGAAAGGCATTCACCAAATTCAAGACACACACCCAGGGACCTGTGCTGTGGCGAAGCAGGTAAAACCACTGCCTGCGATGCTGGCATCCCATATGGGTGCCAATCAAGTCCTGGCTGCTCCACTTCTGACCCAGCTCTCTGCTATGGCCTGGGAAAGCAGAGGAAGATGGCCCAAGTCCTTGGGCCCCTGCACCCAGGTGGGAGACCCAGAAGAAACTTCTGGCTCCTGGCTTCGGATCAACCCAGCTCTGGTCATTGCAACCATTTGGGGAGTGAAACAGCGAATGGAAGACTCTCTCTCTCTCTCTCTCTCTCTCTCTCTCTGTCTCTCTGTCTCTCTCTCTCTCTCTGTCACTCTGTCTTTCAAATAAATTAGAAAAGGAAAGAAGAGAGAGGAAGAAGGAAAGAAAGAAAGGAGGGAAGGATGGAGAGAGGAAGGGGGAAAGAGGAGGGAGGTAAAGAGGAGGGGAGGGAGGAGAAGAGAGGAGGGAGGGAGGAAGGAGGAGGGAGAAGGGAGAAAGGGAGGGAGGGAGGAGGGAGAGAGGAAGGGGGGAAAGAAAGATGAAGGGGGGGCTCCGAGCCCGCGGGGTCATGCTGACAGGAAGGATGCTGACTCCCTGAGACGAGGATGACAGAAACTCCGAGAGACGACCAGGAACAGTTCGTGTGCCAGGAACTGCTCAAATGCCAAGTGCAGGAGGAGACCCCAGAGGAGGAGGAGGAGGAGGAGGAGGAGGAGGAGCAGGAGGACGCAGGCCTGGTGGCTGAGGCTGAGGCAGTGGCTGCCGGCTGGATGCTGGATTTCCTATGCCTGTCTCTTTGCCAGGCCTTCCATGATGGCGGCTCCAAGGCCTTCCATCGGACCCGCGACAGCACCGAGGCTATTATTCATGGACTATCCAATCTAACAGCATATCAGTTGAAAACAATATACATATGTCAGTTTTTGACTAGAATTGCAGCGGGAAAATCCCTGGATGCACAATTTGAAAATGATTAACGAATTACACCCTTAGAATCAGCCCTTATTATTTGGGCTTCAATTGAAAAGGAACATGACAAACTTCATGAAAAAATACAGAATTTAATTAAAATCCAGGCTATAGCTGTTTGTATGGGAAATGGCAATTTTAAGGAAGCAGAGGAAGTCTTTGAAAGAATATTTGGAGATCCAAACTCTTATACGTCTTTAGAAAGAAAGTTGCTTATGATAATATCTCAGAAAGACACATTCCATTCCTTTTTTCAACACTTCAGCTACAACCACATGCTGGAGAAAATTAAGAGCCACGTGAATTGTGTGCTAAATGAAGAATCATCAGCCTTTCTAATGAAGGCAGCAGCAAAAATAGTGGTAAGTAAAAGCAAAAACAATGACTTCTCAAGATAAATCTGATGGTAATGATGTTGAAATGGAAACTGAAACTAATTCAGATACAGGAAAAAGTGTTAATGACAAACAGTCTGTGGTAACTGAATCCTCAGAGGGTACAGTATCCTTATTGAGGTCTCACAAGAATCTCTTATCTAAGCTGAAATATAGAAGCTGGAGAGAAGACTTTGATGAGGAAGAGGAAAGAGGAAACTCTTCAAAGTGAGAGAGAGAAAACAAAAAAACAGAAGAAACAAAGAGAACACATGTTCCAGAAACTCAACCAGTAACTTACAAAAAACGACGACCTAGGAAAAAACAGGCATGGCTTTGGGAAGAAGACAAGAATTTGAGATCTGGTGTGAGGAAATATGGAGAGGGAAGCTGGTCTAAAATACTGTTGCATTACAAATTCAACAACCGAACAAGTGTCATGCTGAAAGACAGATGGAGAACTATGAAGAAACTAAAAATGATTTGCTCAGACTGCAAAGACTGAATGAGTTTGTGAAAGCTGATAAAAGGACAATTAAGTATTTTGAATGCTACATTTTTTTTTGAAACTCACCGGTCTTAAAATTCTTGTTTAAAGCATTATTTTTCTGTGAGTCAATTAATAGGAGGTTTTGTGCCATAAGAGTGAAAGTATATCCTATCATTGTATTCTTTAAGAGTTTTTTCATTTTAATAAGATGTAAATTTGTTGACCCTTGCCACTTTCAATATTCATACCCCTAAATTTTGTTCCAATAAAAAATTAAAGCCTGGTAAGAGAGAAAAGAAAGAAAGAAAGAGAGAGAGAGAGAGAAAGAAAGAGAGGAAGGGAGGGAAGAAGGGAGGTGAGGATGCGGCGCCGGCATCCCATATGGGCACCAGTTTGTATCCTGTCTGCTCCTCTTCCAATCCAGCTCTCTGCTTGTGGCCTAGGAAAACAGTAGAAGATAGCCCAAATCCTTGGGCCCTGCACCCATGTGAGAGACCTGGAAGAAGCTCCTGGCTCCAGATGTTGCAACCAATTGCAGAGTGAACCAGTGGAAGGAAGCCCTTTCTCTCTGTCTCTTCCTCTCTCTGTCTGTAACTCTACCTCTCAAATAATTAAATATAATATTTCTAAAATAGATAATTTAATAAATTAAAAATAGATCTACCATATGATTCAGCTATCCCACTTCCAGGTTTATATACAAGGGAAATGAAATCAGCATCTGATGGGGCCGGTGCTGTGGTGCAGCGGGTTAATGCCCTGGCCTGAAGCACCGGCATCCCATATGGGCACTGGTTTTAGTCCTAGTTGCTCCTCTTCTGATCCAGCTCTCTGCTATGGCCTGGGAAAGCAGTAGAAGATGGCCCAAGTCCTTGGGCCCCTGCACCCACGTGGAAGACCTGGAAGAAGCTCCTGTCTCCTGGCTTCGGATCGGCGCAGCTCCAGCCATTGCGGCTAATTGGGGAGTGAACCAGCAGATGGAAGACTCTCTCTTTCTCTGCCTCTCCTCTCTGTGTAACTCTGGCTTTCAAATAAATAAATAAATCTTAAAAAAAAAAATAAGAAAGAAATGAGCATCTGAAAGAGATACCTGCCCTGTATGTTTATTGGGGAACTATTCACAATAGCCAAGATATGCAATCAACCTAGATGTCTGGTGGTGGATGAAATCAAAAAGAAATGTGAAGGTGAGAGGACAGACACTGTGGTCCAGCAGCGTAAGCTGTCTCTTGGGCTGCATGCATCCCATATGTGAGTGCACAGGAGCAAACTCCACCTCTGCTTCCCATCCAGTTTCCTTCTAATGTGCCTGGGAGGCAACAGATGATGGTCCTACAAGTAGTTAGGACTCGGGTGCAGTAGCAGGCTCCTGGCTTTGGCCTGGCCAGCCCAGGCTGTTTTGGGCATTTGGGGAGTGAGCCAGCAGATGAAATATTGTGCACCTGATCTCTCTTTCTCCCTTCCTCTCTCTCTTCCTCAAATAAATAAATAAATATTGGAAAAAAGGCCAGAGCACAATGGAATATTATTCACCCATAAAGAAGCTTACGTTTACTTTCACCCCCACCCAGTCTCAGAGTTAGGGGCCTATGAGGGAATGATCAGTAGATGGAAGCTCTCTCTGTCCCTCAAATAAATAAGTTTGTGCAGGGCCTGTGCTGTGGTGTAGGCTAAAGCCTCTGTCTGCACTTCTGGCATCCCACGTGGTCACTGGTTTATACCCCAGCTGCTCCTCTTCCAATCCAGTTCTCTGCTATGGCCTGGGAAAGCAACAGAAGATGGCTCAAGTGCTTGGGCTCCTGCACTCATGTGGGAGACCTGGAAGAAGCTCCTGGCTTTGGATCGGCTCAGCTCTGGCCATTGTAGCCATTTGGGGAGTGAACCAGCAAATGGAAGACCTTTCTCTTTGTCTCTCCCTCTCTCTGTAACTCTACCTCTCAAATAAATAAAGCTCTTAAAAAAAAAAAAAAAAAACTCATTTGTGCATTGTAAAAAAATTTGTAAGGGCTTTTCCAATCTGAAATTTTAAAGAGTTGGCATTTAACCTGCACCAGTATGTATGCAGGGCTAGCTGTATCAGGATACTATGAATATCTTATTTTTGTGAGAGCAAAAAATAAACCCCTCAGGTGGGTACCCATTTGTGCAGTCATTGGAGAAACGTGGGGCGGTACAGGCCAACTGTTAATGCAGTTACTTTCTGGAGGTGCAAACGCGGCATGTTCTGTGTTAACTTTTCTTCGACATATTTCTGCATTATTCACCAGTAACAATAAGCACAAATTGTTTTTATCATTTACATATTATAGCCATCAAAATCTTCTCAGTGATGGGTTCACATTGAGAATGTTCTTTAAAAAAAAAAATTTTATGTATTCGAAAAGCAGCGTTACAGAGGCAGAGGGAGAGACAGAGATCTTGCATTCCCTGGCGCACTCCCGAGATAGCCAAGAGGCGGAGCTCGGAAGACCGGAAGCCAGGAGCCAGGAGCTTCTTCCGGGTTGCCCACAGGGGCGCCGGGGTGCAGGGGCCCAGGGACTTGGGTCATCTTCCACTGCTTTCCCATGTTAGCAGGACGCTGGATGGAAGTGGCCTCCAAATGGGCCACCGGTGCCACAGATAGCAGCTGACCCCGCTATGGTACAGTTCCAGTCCCATTAAAAATCAGGTTTTGTAAAAATATATAATATTCAGTTAGTGGGGAGGAGTCTGCCACAGAACCACGGCCCTCCCCACAGAGGCAGAGCAAGAACTAAAGCGCAGCCGCCAACGCAAGATGGCGTGAACCTTTTCAGCGACCAGATGTAGTCCAATGGAATTCAAGGAAAAGCTAAAGCCCCGCCTCTCAAAAAGCGACGGCCCAATGGGAGCCTCCCGGATCCTGCCGCACGCGGCTGGCGGAAGCCGGCCCAGACTGGACAGGCAGGGGGCTCAGCCTGTGTAGGCCCCGGGGAGGACTTCCGCCGGATGCTCGCTTCTGGGCGGGCCTTCCTGCAACCCTGAATCCCCCCGCTGTACTTAGGGATGGCTCCATCCGGAAGCCATGCCGGTGAGCGCGGGAGTCTGGGGCGTGGAGCTCCACGTGGCCCTCCAAGCCCAGCCAAGGCCAGAGGCCTGCCCGCCAGGGAAACTGAGGCCTGACGACCCTGCACCGCCACCACCACTACCTGAGGCTTGCCGATGCCTCAGGGGCGTGGAATTGTGCGTGGGCTCCTGCCCTTTTTGGGAAGCGTACCCTACTGGAAAGTCATTTTTATGGGCGCTTTAGGAGTGCTTCCTGGAGAGGGGCAAGACCAGGCTAGTGGGGTGGCGAGGGGGTTTCATCCGAGACTGGCCGTCCGAGTCCTCTCCCCACACTTGAACCTGAAATTCACCCCTACCTAGAGTTAGCTCTACTTCCTGCCAGGACCTGGGACACGTAAACAGTGAACTGCGTGTGAAGTTGAGTTTTACAGCATCCACTCACTGATAATCACTTCCTCCTTGGCCAGGTGGACCCAAGGATGAGTAAGAGCTGGTCCTAGGGGATACGCAGTGTGGTGATGGAGAACCGCGGGGCAGGCCCTGAAGTGAGGCCTACCCCAGGGAGGGGTGCTCGAGAGGGAAAGGCTTGAGCAGGGGTGGCTGGCGGGCCTTCTTGGAAGATAAGGGCAGGGGGTGGCACTTCTGGGACCCGCAGGTAGAGCTGCAGAACTGGGGACCGGTGGCACCAGGTGAATCCGAGTGTTGTGGTTCCCACAGCGTCACTACGTTCAGGGTATTTACTAACAGTAAACTGCTGAGTGTCAGCCATATTCCTCCATGGCAGGTCCTACTTTCCTGAGTTATGGCTAACAGGAGGCTTAGAAATTTATACATGGGGCCGGTGCTGGGACATAGCCAGTAAAGCCACTGCCTGCAGGGCAGACATCCCATATGGACGCTGGTTCGAGACCCAGCTGCTTCATTTCCTATCCAACTCTCTACTATGGCCTGGGAAAGCAGTAGAAGGTGGCCCAAGCACTGGGCCCCTGCACCTGCACGGGAGACCTGGAAGAAGCTCCTGGCTCCAGATCGGCTCAGCTCTAGCAGTTGCAGCCATTTGGGGAGTGAACCAGTGGATAGAAGATCTTTCTCTTTCTCTCTCTGTAACTCTGCCTTTCAAATTAACAAATAGTCTTAAAAAATAAATAAACAAATAAATCTTAAAAAAGAAATCATACATGCCCTACATTCACACAGCTGGTATGTTGTTGAGTGAGAGATGTCAATTTGGGGCCTTTTTTTCTTCCTCCTTTTCTAAAATTATTTTCTTTTTTTAGTTTGTTTATTTGAAAGAGTGACTGAGAGCAACAACAGGTTGGAAGGGGGAGACAACCATGTCTTCCATCTACTGACTCAGTCCCCAAATGGTCACAATAGCTGGGGCTGGACCAAGAGGGAGAACTCAGTCTGGGTGTCCCAGGTGGGTGGCAGGAACCCAAGTCCCTGGGCCGTCATCTGCAGCCTCCCAGGTGCATTAGTAGGAAGCTGGATCTGAAACAGGTGCAATTCTATCCCAGGCACTCGGCTACGAGATCCCAAGCAGCAGTTTAATCTGCTGTACCACAGTGTCCACTCCCTTTTTAAGAAATTTTAATTGATACATTAAAATTTTATATACCTATGGAATACCATATACACATAGTGTAATGTCCAAATCAGGGTAAAAATATCTGTCTCCTCAAACATTTTTCATTCTCAGACATACATCGTGGTGAAATATTAAGCATCCCGGGCTGGTGTTGTGGCTCAGCAAGTTAAGCCACCGCTGGCAACGCTGACGTGAGTGCCGCTTCAGGTCGCAACTGTTCCACTTCTGATCCAGCAGTGGGAGATGGCCTGAGTTCTTGGGCCTCTGCCGCTACATGGGAGCTCTGGGCTCCTGGCTTCAGCCTTGCTTAGCCCCAGCCGTTGCAGTCATTTGAGAAGTGAACCAGCAGATGGAGGCGTGCTCTCTCTCTCTCTTTCAAGTAAAGAAGTCAATCTTAAAAAAAAAAAAAAAAAAGATTTATTTAT